CAATCTCGATATGAACGACCATATTGTCATGCGATACTTGGATCACGAGATGAGTACTAAGTATAAGGATTTTCACTACAGGTTGCACAAATGGTATAAAGAATTTGATCTCATAGAGGCAAGAAATAACCGACATGAAGATGTATTACTAGATGAAGATTGAAATCGCTTGTGCGATCGATGGGAATCAGATAAGTTCAAGGTATATACGTACTATGATATTTGTAAATATATTTCTTGAATATATTATTGTATGCTAATGAATCTTCACCGACACTCATGTATGTACATTACAGCAAACATCTGAAACGAACACTAGAGCTCGATCGGTTGTACCATACCTTCATATAGCAGGAACTATTGCGTTCTTACGCCATATAGAAAATATTTTAGGTATCATTTTCTTGTCATAACTCAATCACTATTTCAGTACTCATTACTTTGTTTGATAATTATGTAGAAAAGTCATAGAGGGTCGGGAGGTAGATGACATTGAGCTATTTGAGATTACACACAAAAAAGCAAACCAATAGTGGGTGAACTCGGTAGTAAGTCAAAAACATGTAAGTGAAACTGGTTATTTAACTTTTATATTATTTTACCCGTACTAATTTTATCATATTATAGGAACAAATGATTGAACTGAGAAATGCTCCCCTTGAAGAAGGTGTAGAACCTCCATCAGCTTGAGAAGTAACTGTGCAAGTTCTAGGTAAGTGTGGTGCACTTGGATGGGGACCGCCAACGTCAAATTCTCATAATGGATGAAGTTCCCAAAAGTTTAAAGAATCACATAATCAAATTGCACAACTTCAAGCTATTGTGGAATCACAACAAGCCATGATACAATCGCAACAAGGCACAATTGACTCAACAGTGGATGAATTAGGTCAATTGCGAGAAATAGTAATGAGGTTAAATGCTAAATCACAATAGGGAAGTAGTTCTCAACCGCCCAATGACACTTAAAAAGGTACACATACATAATGTTCATAACTTATGTTATATCATTACTTATAATAGATATTTGAAATTGATATGGTGGAATCGTTGTGACTATCCTGCAATTATGGTAGTCATAGTTGTTCATAAAGCTTGACTAGATATTGATGCATGTACTTTTAAATTTGACTTTTTGATGTAGTTGAATCGTTGTGATTATCATACAGTTATGGTTGTTGTAGTTGTGCATAGAGATTGACTAGATATTAATGTATGTCATTTAAAAGAGTTTTTGATGTATTTGAATTGTTGTGACTATCCTGCAGTTATAGTAGTCGTAGTTGTGCATAGAGATTCTAGATATTGATGTATGCCATTTTAAATGAGTTTTTGATGTAGTTGAATCGTTGTAACTATCTTGCAGTTATGGTAGTCAATTGAATTCATTGTGTTGCTTTTTATTTTGTTTATGAACTTGGTTGGAGGTTAGATGAAAGACTTAGAATATTAAGTAGTTATGTAAGGAGGGGTAAAGAGGAGAATTCACCTCCTCCAAGTTAGTAAGTTTTAGTTTATATGCTCTTCGAATCCTCATGTACTGTCTTATGCTTTGTTTGTTTTGGATAAGCTGGGAGAGAATTCATTAACGAGTTGTGTTGCTTAGTAGTTCTTATACTTCTTATTTAATATTTTTCTAATTTCTCATTATATATCATTTTAGTGTGATTTTGAAGCTAGTTTGTGGTCTTAGAGGGCATTTAGGCTCTTTTAAGACACTTGTTTATGACTTTAGTTTATATGGTTTTAGTTTATAGTTTATATTCTCGTTTACACATTGAATATAGTTTTAATTTATTGTTTCATGATTTTGGTCTCCATATCTCACTTAACCACTTACTTTGCCACTTTTTAATTTCGTACATTTGTTTCTTTATGCAATCACATTTTTATATATTATTTGATTCATTTCAGGTGTGTAGATCATGTCTAATTTTGAAGACTACTTTTGGGACAAACACAGACAGAAAATTGAAGTTTATATGGGTCGTACTCGAATTTTTGATGTATGTTTTTTTGTTTTTTTGTTTTTAATATAATGACTGAATACAGATATTTGCCATTTAAGGTTCATTTTTCTTTTATTTATTTTATGTTCCATTTTGTAATTTAAAAAGTTATTTTTTCAATTCAAATGATTTAGGAGGTTGTTATGTATTGTAGAATTTTTAGGTGCAAATTATTTCAGATAAAGGGAAGTTATGACGACTAATTAAGATTGTCGTTTCAGAAAGGAAAAAAATTTCAAACCAATAGTGGAAAAAAGGAAAGAAAAAATAACTCAATCATTATTCGCGACAACAATGTTTTGTCGCTCATATTATTATCAGCGACAAAAAGTGGCGTCGCAAATTATGTTATTAGTGACAGACTAATGGTGTTGCTAATAATCGTATTTGCAACGCCGTGGTTTTGTCACTGATAATATTATCAGCGACAGCCTATATTTGTCACAAATAATCTTATTAGCGATGCGGCCTGTGTGTCGCTCATAATTATTAGCGACGCTTTGTGTCATCGTCGCTAAAAGTATAAACAACGCGTTTTTAGGGACGATTTAAGCGACGCGCGCGTCGTCATCGCTGATACTTTTAGCAACAAAATATGACTTTTAGCGACATATTTTTTGTGCCCCTAAAAACCTGCTTTCCTGTAGATATGTATATTTTGTTTATCTAGAAGCATGCTGAGAAAGTTTGTCCATTTCTTATGTAGATTCTACAAATTTAGGGTTTTTGTTTTAGTAAATTGTTTTCCGTAGTGAGTAAAGAAGAAAGAGAATAATATTAATTAGAGAAGAGAGAAGAAAAAAAAAGATAAATTTTAGAAAATTTTAGAAAATTTTAGAAAGAATGAGAGAAAAACATTCATAATTATAGAAGAGAGAGAGAAGAAAATAAGAAAGACAAAACAAAGAAAGAATGAGTTAATGAAAAATAGAGAGAAAGAAATAATTGATAAAGAGAGGAAGATAAACACAAGAAATAAGGGAGGGGAATCTAAAATATTAGTGGATGGGTAGTGGTGAAGGTCATTTGGTATACCTGTGATGTGATCCAAAGATTAAAAAACATGAGCTTTGAAAAAGATGGGTAAAAATCAATATGTCTTAAGAAAAGGGCTATTAAGCCCAAAAACTCATAAAAATTAGTTTCTTTTTTATTTGGTTAATGTTTTTTTTTTATTATTATTATGTTATGATACTCAATGCCAACATCAAACTCTTTCTTTAATGGAGATTCAAATCCTCACCTTAACTAGTTTTTCATTTCAAAGTAGATTATATTATAATTTGTTGGGAAAAATATCTGCTATCATGTGTGTAATAAAATAGCTGAAATCCTAGTTCTCAATAATCTAAAGTCTACCTACGAATCATTTAATTTTCCCCTTTCCCAATTACTCAGCAAGTCACAGTATCCAAATACCACAATAAAGGAATAAGAGAAAGCAGAAAACGACACAAGAGATTTATTCTGGTTCACCAAACTATGGCTATGTCCAGTCTCCCACGATGTGCGAGTTCTACCATAATTGAGACAATACAACATGCATACAATAACTCTCTCTAGATGCTTCAACAAATGCCACCTAGCTTCTAGACACTACGTCAATACGAATCTAGGAACACAGGAATGAAAAACTTCACCAATACTCATAAGAACGGGTTGCCAACAATGCTCCACAACCATGAACTCATCTCTACCGTTGTGCCAAAGCACACTGTCAACCCTATTTAAATTTTGCCACTTATCCACCCCTCAATGTTTGTGCACCAAAAAAAACCTAAGTGAAATAAGAAAGATATAGAAATTATCATCGTAGCATTGCGTAGCATCTCAACACTACGAGAACCCTCAGCGTCAAAACGAAAACGCGCACTTTTTTCTTTGATTTGGGACAACGCCAAGACACTCCTTACAGCGTCTCAATGCTGTGCCCTCGGGTCCACATGCTCTGCAACATTTCAACTATTTTTCCTTCTTTCTTCTCTTGGCTCCACCAAACCCAACATAATCAATAAAAAATAGTTAAATAGGGATAAAAAATAGTAAATACTAGAAAATATATTGGTTCGCCTCTACATCACCACATGACTCAAAGAAATTCAAGACAGAATAGTTTTATCGTTCATAATGTTGATATCCACACGTTAGAAAGAATCAATACATATAAATACATATAAATCTCTTCGTGCTCCTCCATATCCCACTCTCTGCAATATCGTCTGACATAATAAAACATATCAATATTGTTAATTCCATGAATATAAAATTTTGAACAAGGTAGTATAGTTCAAAACATGTTAAATTATCCTATAAATTTTATACTTAGGTTTCAATTCCATGTCCATCATCTTTAAAAATTTTCATTTTGGTCTTCGCACTAATGCCTAGCTTTTCGTATATTGGTTAAGTCTAAAATACATGTATTACACAACAAAATTGTGAAAGGATAAATTTGGTATAGATAGAGACGTTTTCAAAAGAGTTTTTTTTTAAGTAAAAAACAAATGTTGAAGAGACTTGACCTTAAGACCTATTTATCAGAGATAAGTGTTACTTACCACTCAACTAAGCTAACCTAACGTTGACAAAGAGTTCACTAAATTCAATTACTTCCATTTTTCTTACCATCCTAAGGGCAAAAATAAAACCATCCAGCAAAAAAACTACATCACATGGAATAGTAGTTAAATCAAATAATTGTGATATATAATGGAGAGATATGAAGGAAAGTGATGATTGTGTGAAGAATACCTGTAGGAATCAAGATCCGGTGGATACGCGAAATCATAGGCCAATACTCTCCTCCCTGCTTGAATCTTTCTTGGAGTTGTGGGCACCTCCTTATGCTCAGGTAATACAGAGTTTTGAATTGATGCATTCCATTCGGCAGTGATTTTAACTTCGGACATTCCACAATCTCCAGATGATGAAGCGAAGTGATGTTGCCAATCCATTTCGGTAAACTCATCAAATTGTAGCATTTACCTATTATCAGATCTTGAAGTTTTGTATAGGCCAATCGATGTTTTGCCGAGATCCCATTTCTAGATAAACGAGATCCCTAATTTCTTGGAGTTTTAATCTCTTAAAACTCTTCAACGGGCCTATTGTATTTACCAACTGAACACCAACATCGCATAAACTAACATCCACTCCAGTAGAAGCAATCTTTGGCATGGAACTTAACTTGGGACAGCCGTCGATCTTGAATGAAAGTAGCCGAGGAAAAATTGGAAGAGTCTCTTCTATTTCCCACCATCCTTCCAAATTATGCATTTCCTTCAAACTTAGACTCTCGAGAGATGGGAAGGAGCGTGATGAGCATGAGCATGGTTCATTCTTGTGTATGAACTTGAGAGATCTCATGTCCCCTAAGTATAGAACTTTTAAAGCCTGAAGATTGCCCAACTGAGGTAGATATTGCAATCTTTGGCATTTGCCAATTCCAATCTCAGTTAAATTGGAGAGCGAGGTAGATACCCAATTGGGTAATCCTACTCCATCGTATCCTCGAATGATCAAGAGTTCAACGTTCGGATGTGGTTGTAGGCCTTCAATTACTGTTTCATCACCCTTAGCTTCGTATTCCTTATCATCCCAGCTCGGCTTCCAATTAAGTCTCAAACCTTGCAAACCTTTTTTGTCTTTCAGGTTTATTAAGCTGGCTTTAGATGGAGTACGCCTCAACTGCTCTAAACCTATGATTTTTAACTCTCCATTTATATAGTTCAGCACATTCAATTCGCTTACCATATTGGACCTTTCGCAGTCCAACACAAGATAACTTACTGTCTGTAGACAACTCAACTTCACCATCCCTTTTGGCATATGGGTTAGTCTATATGCACCCATTAAACCAAGATGTCTAAGATTAACAAGATTGCTGGTGTTCCTGGGCAGTTGTGATAGTCTATAACAGTTCATCAGATTTAGTGTTTGCAAATTTTGCAATTTAGTGATAGAATTTGGAAGTGATGCCATATAATTTTCAGAGATATCTAGATATCGAAGATGTCTGAGCTTTCTTATAGAATTCGGCACCACATGAATATTTGAGTTATTGAGACCCAGTACTCGCAAACGTGGAAAACTAGAAAATAGTTCATCCATGACAGCTTCATTGATCATGGGCCCATACATTCCAAGTCTATAATTAGACGAGAACAACTGGAACGTTCTTAATCCTTTTGCCTTGTGTAATTTGAATAAAACATTCGACCATGATTTTATTTCATAGCCAAATGAAACATGACGAGTTTTTTCTCTGAAAACATAATCACAATTGAAACTTTCATGTACATATTTCTTTCCAGCTACATTAATGGTAAGATCACGCATCACATCATGCATATTAACATCACTGTCGAAGTTACACTCCTCACTAGAATTTTCAAAAAAAAACCTCCAACATAATTCCTTGAAATATTCCTTTCCTGTATCTTCCATGGATTTACTCCCACTTGATGATTCTATAAAACCTAGAGCCATCCATTTGTCTAACCAAATCATTTATTTTTAAGCTACTCCCTTTGGGAAACAATGATATCTAGGCAAAACATTGTTTCAAATTTGGTGATAGATGGTCATATCTCAATTTTAATATGGATGTCATATCATTGTCTTGTTGAACCACTTTCAAAAGTTCATTATTCTTGAAGGACATCCACTCTTCTTCTGAAGTCTTAGAGTATAACAAGCGTCCTATATGTCTTATTACAAGAGGGACACCTCCACATTTTACTAAAATTTCTTTTCCCAACTTCGTCAAGTTTGGATTTGCAGGTTCTTTGCCTTCTTTAAATGCCACATTTCTAAACAATGACCATGAATTACTCTCACGTAAGCCTTCTAAGGTGAACAAAGAGGTCATGCTTTCGATTTCTGTAGCTACTTTACTATCACGCTTCGTGATCAAAATCTTACTCCCTCTTGCGCCACCCATTAACAGGGGTTTTAACTCATGCCATTTCTCTTCACTTTCATTCCATACATCATCCATAACTAACATATACTTCTTTCCTCCAATCACTTCTTGAAGCTCTCTGTGTAAAGCTTCCATTCCTTCAACATTAGGATTCCTTCCGGTTGCCGATACAATTATTTTTTTCACTATTACTTTAACTTCAAATTGATCAGAAACCCAAACCCATATAATTTTGAACCGAAACATTTTGATACATCTTCATCGTTGCAGAGAGATTTAGCCAAGGTCGTCTTGCCTATCCCACCCATTCCAACAATTGCAATGAATGAAACATTGTGTGTGAGTGAGAGATTCATATTCACGTCTAATAAAAGGTCTTTTACTTTTTTCTTATCATCATCCCTTCCAATTACTCCATCTTCATTTGAAACAGAGTAAGTTTCCTTTCTTATCATAACTTGACCTGACAAACCATATTGAGTCCTCCGTTCACCACTTATTTGCAAATGAAATTGGTTTTTTTCAGCATCAATAGCATCTAGCCTCTCCCAAATATTCTTTATTTTACGAGCCATCCTATTATTAAATGCAATCTGGTTGGATCTAGAGAAGAAGATCCTTACCTGTTTTGCACCTTTTCCTGTAGTCATCACTTCTCGACGGAGAGTCTCACTAGAGAGTTCATCAAGCACATCCTCCGCATCATAAAGAGCTTCTTCCAGCTTTTGGAGCCAATTCTGTAGAGAGCGAGTTTTAGTTTGACACTCCGCCGCATCGAGAAGTACATCTTTAATCGTGGAGACAGTGCTGGTAAGTTTGGTAAGATCACCCTCCACTCCACTTAGCATTCCAAGCCATGTGGAAGCTTGAGATCCTAGCTTCATCAAGATCTCCCCAGCAACATCAAAGAGAATTGCTCCTGCCATGGTTTAAGTTTCAGGTGGAGAAATGCAAATGGGATTTATGCTCATGCTTATGATTATCTTTCAATCTGATATATGAAGGCTGGAAAAGATGGCTCTTCAAAATATTTCTTATCATAGTTATTCCAAACTTAGACATGAAGGCTGCAAAAGAGATGGCTCTCCAAAATATTTTTTATGATGGTTATTCCAAACAGAGACATGAAGCCTACAAAATATTTTTTTGTGATGATTATTCCAAACTGAGAGATGGAGGCTGCAAAAGGTGGCTCTCAAATACATTTTTTATGATAATTATTCCAAACTGAGATACGAAGGGCTGCAGAAAGATGTTTTTGTTCATGATGATCATTATCCTCCTTTGTTCTTGACTTGGGTAGGTTATCCATTCAACGGAGATCCTTGTATAAAGTTTGATCTGTGGAAAGTAGTCAATAAAAAAATCTCCTCCTCCCTTTTCGGACTAGTACTATAAGATTAAACGTATCTTTGAGATCAATCTTCAATAAAACATCATAGATTTTTTCTATTGTCAATTTTCGTGCTAATTTTTAGTTTTGTTGCCGTCTTCTTTGTTTATGCTCAAGCACTAAATGCCAATATAAATATATAGTTCTAACTGTGTAGGCACCAATTCCATGGGAGATTCAAATCTTCACCTTCAAATTTGGTAGGCTAGAAACAAGAGAAAGCTCTTGCACTACTTTCGTTGCAAATATTTCCCTTTCCATTTAGTAATGTTGTAATGGAACTTTTATTTAGGGACTTTTTATAAACACTATAATTTATTTAATGAAAAGGAATACAATGTCCAAATGATACAAACTCGAGAGGAAACAAGAAGGCTAAAAGATGAAAAACAAAATAAAAAATGGAAACAAATACCATCCATCTTAAGCAACTATAATTGAAAAATAAAGGTCTCCCAGTGTATCATGCTAATAGAATAGTTTATTTCGTTGTCCTTCCAATCCTAACATCTATAAGTTTGATATAAGTTTAGGGTAATGTACTTAAATATATTAAAAGAAATACATTCCACCATAAATTTAATTAGACATATTTGGTAAAAAAAATTGAAATTACTTTTAAAAGAAAAGGATTAGACATATTTTGTCAAAAAAGAAAAAGAAAAAGAAAAATTTATTTAAAATAATTAGACATTATTTTGTCAAACAAAACATTTTTTAAAAAAATAATTGGACATATTTAGTTAAAAAAGAAAAAGAGAAAATATTTAACAAATAAAAGATGCATAAGCTAGAATCCGACCACAATACATGAACCACAATACATGAACCAAGATTAAGACATATTTTATCACATAAAAAAAGCAAACAAAAATGCAGGGTTAAGGCATATCTTGAAACAAAAAAGAGAGAAAAAGAAAAGAAAAAGAAAACACAAAAACGCGCTGATCGAGATTCGAACCAAAGACATGCAACAAAAAAACAAAAAAAAAAGTAATAAGGAAAAAATAAGAAAGAAAACACGAAAACCATTGTCGCCTTTTGTCCCTTTATTCCTCCACTTGGCTCCTTTTAGTTTCTTTAAGGAATTTTAAAACCAGTGGAGCTTCAACTCAATAATTGAGCTGTCCCACTTAAATCAACACCCATGAGTTGTTCATGGTGTCACACTCTCTATTCAAATCATTACCAGTTAGGTTTTTTTTTTTTTCCAAAGGAGGCTTTATGTAATTTAGTTTTTATTATTTTGCTTATCTCATTTCATAACTTTTCTTATTTCTTGTTTTTTTTCTCAATTCGGAGAAACACGGTGTTTAATAATCGTACGTATTTAACATTTTTAAAAAACATTTCCAAAATTATGTATAAATTTTGGATTTCTTGTTTTTGTTTCGAGTTCCAATTTTTTCCAAAATAACATGGTTTTATTATTATTGAGTTATAAAATGCACACGGTAAATATAGCATAAAAATTTTGAATATCCTAACTCTAGATGCTATTTTCATCAAAATCCTAAAAAAAAAAAAAAATTAAAGCTCTAGTCGAACAGACCAAAAGATGTTTTTAAATGGAAGAAAAATCATATAAAACTTGTATTCTTTTTAACTGAAAATTTTAAAGAACAAAAAGTATCATTACCAAACATGGTTCTATTTTTTTTTCTTTTTAAATAAAAAATAAGAAAGAAAAGTAAAAAAAAGGTTACACA